ATAGATAGATAGATAGATAGATAGATAGATAGATAGAGATAGATAGATAGATAGATAGATAGATAGAGAGAGAGAGAGAGAGAGAGAGAGAGAGAGAGAGAGAGAGAGAGAGAGAGAGAGAGAGAGAGAGAGAGATTCTGAGAGTTCAGACGTGGTGACATTGGAATCTGACCGATATCTGGACACAGAGACATTGGGAGGCTAACTTTGGAGACTATTGTGGGTGACATAATTGAGTTGACCACATCTCCATATCTCTCCCCCTTCGTCTCATCTCCCTCCTGATCCGTGTATGATCCTGGCCACAGCACCCTTCTTCTATGTGTACGGTGCCATGGCCGATCCCCTGCATCGATGATGAGTGAGTTGCAGTCTGTCTAAGTCTCGTTGAGTCAGATCTGCGTGTATCAGTCTTCCGCGCTGCATTGTGTTTTGCTCATCCTCCTTGGGTCGGTTCTTGGGTTCTGCACCATGCCCATCTGATTGTCTTTGGGTGTGCGACAGAACACTTGTGCAGATTTTGAACTTGGTTCTGTGCAATTATTTTTTAATGTGTATTTTTTTTAATGTCAAACATTTTGCATTTCTTGACAGCTGTCAACTCATTTGTCTGTAGATCAGCGCAGAGAGGGAAAGGAAGAAAGAAAAAAGAATCGAGTGTCATTTCTCTGTAGATCAGCACAGAGAAGGAAAGGAAGAAAGAAAAAAGAATCAAGTCCAACCTTCAAAATCAACCCATACCCATTAGCAAAGAGAAGAAAAGAAAAAAGAAAAAAGAATCAACCGATCAACCTAACCAGAGCAAGTGGCGGAATGGCACAACACATGTAACTGGTGGCGATCAGACCGTGAGTTCAAGTCCTGACAGAATCCGATGAATAGAATAATGACAGGGGCTACCACCTTTGGAAGGGAAAACAAATTCAGTTCATCAACCCATCAACCCCAATCTTTTGGAATTCTTAAGTTCCCTGCTGCTTGCACCAAATTGTGCTGTAAGGTCACGCATTGCCATTGATTCCTTGTTTTTTTGCCTCTGTCGTTCATACTAACTTCTGAGCTATGTTGTCTGTGGCATGATGGGGCCTCGCACACCGGATCCGGGAGGCCCGGAGGCCCGGACATTATTTTTGGAGAGGCCCCTCGTCCGTCTGGCCTCTTTTGCGGCCAATGACCGGCTGAGAGGGCCTCGGCCATCATGAAGGCCCTGGGTGACTGGGTTGTCTGGCATGTGTGTGGATATTTTGTCTGTCCTGACTCCTGAGTTCGTTTTATTTATTTTGGTATTATTTTGTTGCTGCATATTTTCTTGGTTTCAGCTCCGTTGTCCCGGGCCGGTTCATGTTGTCCTGTTCCAGATTCTGTTGTTTCATTGTAATGTCCGAATATCCACAGTTTTGTCCTGTTCGGAACTCTGGAGACTACCGTTTTACATTTTGGCTGATTGTGTCTGTTTGTGGCTCGGCTTGTCTCTGTATGTAGTGCTTTGGCCAGCTTGAGACCCAGGTCCTATTGCTGAGCTAGCAGGTTGGACCAGGGCACGTGCGTAGCGGGTACTAGGGACCCAGGCCACACATTGTTGGCCCGGACGAGTGTGGTAGGACCACGGCCTTGTGCTTGGGCCATTGGACCATGGTCTGATCTGACGACCGAGGAGAGAGGCTCTGGATAGATCATTCACTGGCCACATGCTACTAAAGTACAGGCCGGTCCAGCGTGATGCCGGTTGGTTCGTTGAAGTGTTGCCACCAGGATTCTTCGTCTTCGTCTTCGTCTTCGTCTTCGTCTTCGTCTTCGTCTTTGTCTTCGTCTTCGTCTTCGTCTTCGTCGTCGTCGTCTGCGTCGTCGTCTTCATTGCCTTCTTCTTCTTCTTCTTCTTCGTTGCCGTCGTCGTCTGCGTCGTCGTCTGCGTCTTCGTCTTCTTCTTTGTCTTCTTCGTCTTCCTCATCTTCTCCGTCCTTCCCTTCGTCCTTCGTCCTTC